CTCTCCGGCAATCTCTTGCAACTCTCCGGCACTCTCCGGCAACTCTCCGGCACTCTGTGGCGCTCTCCGGCACTCTCCGGCACTCTACGGCAACTCTCCGGCACTTTCCGGCAACTTTCCGGCACTCTGCGGCAACTCTCCGGCATTCTCCGGCACTCTCCGGCACTCTCCGGCACTCCCCGGCACTCTCCGGCACTCTCCGGCACTCTCCGGCACTCCCCGACACTTTCCGGCACTCTGCGGCAACTCTCCGTTAGTCTCCGTCACTCTCCGGCCCTCTGCAGCAACTCTCCGGCTCTCTCCGGCACTCTACTGCACTTAACAACACGCAACTGCATTGTACGGCCTTCGATAAGGCTCGAAAACACTTGAAAAACGCGCGAAAACGATTGATAACGCTCGACAACGCTCGAAAATGTTCTGAAAATGATCGAGATACGCTCGAGAACGTTCAAAAACGGTCGAAAAACGCTCGATAACACTTGAAAACGCTCGAAACCGCTCTGAAAATTATCGAGAAACGCTCGAGAACGTTCGAAAACGGTTGAGAAACGTTCGATAACGCTCGAAAACGCTTGAAACCGCTCGAAAAACGCTCGATAATACTCGAAAACACTCGAAAACGCTAGTAGGGAAATGTAAAAAAAATCATACGCGAAATGACTCGGCTTATATCCGGGGTTAGGTAAGCCTCGGGAGGATTTTCGCAGTATTCGACTCTCACGCATACTTGTCGAGTGTAGCGCCGAATGCACACATACTCAACGTTTCGTCCCGTAACTTGGCGCTTGGCTTGTTGGAACGCGCGAAGATTTCTAGGAGCTATCGCACTCACACAGATTCGCTGCACGAGAGTTCCGTACGTGATATCGACGCGTGCCCCAAAGCTCCGCATCGCGTCGACTTCGAGGCAACAATGTACTTAATAGTATTAGATAAGTAGATAAAGTCAAATGGAGCGTCACGAGTGTTCATCCCTTACCATTAAAAGCGAGCAGTGTCGGTAAGCGTAGTTAAGCCATCACCGTCAACTGCCGCTTGGTATTACCATCACTAGTACGTGAGCCGCCAACGGCGACTGGTAGATGGTACCGCCATCGTGAATGCGCTAGCTCCTATCAGAAATTCGTTGCGCCGCCTTTGGGGGCAAAAAACGGTGAAAGCTAACGTACGAAACCAGAGGGCAGCACAGGATGCGATCGCATGATCCTGCCCGTGAGCAATCTCCCAACTCATCTCTGATACATCTTCCCGACATCAGAGGGCACGACTTGCATTTGCTTCGTGCAGTTCGCCACGTTGGAAGGTGACGGATTGTTACAGATGTATTTGTGTAGTTACAAATTATAATATTTAAGTGTCAATCCAAGCTGAAAAGTATCAGGTGATCCTCAGTTAATGACATTAGAATTTTTTGGAATCGTTTTACCTCTTTTGTCGTATTACATGAAATTAAGTTTTCCTTGATATTTAATCAAATTTGGTACATCATAACCCAAAAGAAACAGACGTTCATACATTTTTCTATAATTACATAATTCCCATACTAAAGTTCACTTTAAACCGATTTTTAGGTTACTGGAAAAATTAACGTTAAAAACGGCTTTTATGGTGTGGCATGTAATTGCACGAATACAGATATTTTGGGAATCGAATTTGATGGCTTGTCACTTTAATCGTTACTAACAATTTGACATACCAGTAGAAGGAAAGTCATTTTACTAGTTATAATAATTACATTTGTAGGTATCAAGATGAAGGTGAAGGAGTTGCTCAAAACTGTAAATGTGGCATGGTCACCACCCCAGCAATATCCGATATTGCTGGCGGCAGGGACTGCGGCACAGCAACTCGATGCTAGTTTTAATACTTCCGCTAGTTTAGATTTGTACTCACTGAATCTTCAGCAACCAGGTTATGAAATGGAGTTACAAGCAACCGTTCCTAGTGAAAACCGGTAATAAGCAAATTTCAACGTATTTTGTTATGTATAAATTTGACAGATTTAATAGTGGTATAATTTCAACCTTTCAGGTTTCATAAAATAATTTGGGGAGCCGGTGACGACAATTCTCCTGGGATTATCGTCGGTGGATGTGATCACGGGATTATACAAATTTATTCTGTTGCTAAAGTGCTTGCAAAGGAAAGCGATTGTTTAATAAGTACTCCTAGTAGGCACACAGGTCCTGTGCGCACGATGGATTTTAATCCCTTCCGAACAAACTTATTAGCAACGGGTGCAACAGAAAGTGAAATTATTATATGGGACATGAGTAACACTAATAATCCAATGGCACCTGGCCCTACGAGTCAACCACTAGAAGATGTACAGCATATTGCATGGAATAAACGAGGTGTGTTCATATTGTTTATATCGATTTGATGTATAAAATGAAATGTTGCTGAATTGTATGCTCTCTTTTAGTGCAGCATATCATAGCTTCTACATTTTCGCAACGTTGTATTATATGGGATTTACGGAAGAATGAACCAATAATCAAACTTACCGATGCCAACTCAAAGGTGTTTACTGATACTCGATAAATCGCTTAACACATTCTGTAATAGTTCATTCATTTTAACTTAATACACGCAGGTACGGTGGAAAGTAGTTCAGTGGCATCCGGATATAGCGACGCAATTATGCCTTGCTTCGGAAGAAGATCAGTCACCTGTAATTGAATTATGGGACTTAAGATTCGCAACATTACCTCTAAAAACACTGAGAAGTCATCAGCGTGGAGTACTTTCAATTGCATGGAATATCAACGACTCGGATCTGTTGCTGAGTAGCGCAAAGGATAACAGGATTTTGTGTTGGAACCCAAATTCAGATGCTCCGGTATGTTTGTTCATGTAAATTTTTATTTACAAGTTAACTCTTTTATGTTCTGAATCCCTATTTATGATTTTTGACAGGATGGAGAAGTGATTTGCGAATTGGCTCAAACAAATCAATGGAACTTCGACGTAGCGTGGTGTCCTCGAAATCCTGGTTTAATTGTGGGAACAGGCTTCGATGGGCATGCAGTTGTCTATTCCCTCCTCGGCGGACAGTCTCAAGCTTCGACAGAAACGTCGAAGAAATTAGTCGACTCTTTTCCAGGAATGGATCCGTTTACTCAACCAGTTCCCCAACAACCCACCGAAGCGGCAGTTTTACTCAAAAAAGCACCAAAATGGTTAAAAAGACGTTCAGGGGTTTCATTTGGCGTAAGTGGTCGTTGCTTTCAGTGAGAAATACTTCAATGCATTTTTAATATAATACATAAATTAACATTTCTTCCAGTTCGGGGGAAAACTGGTAATATTTGAGAATGAGACTGCAGATCCTACTCTTCCGATGAAGGCTACTCGAACGGTTATTATTTCACAAGTAATCACAAATCCAGAATTAGTCCAACGATCTAATGAACTGGAAGCGACCCTCAGAAGTGAACAATTCATTGATTATTGCCAAGGAAAAGCCGATAAAGTCGCGGACGACCATGATAAAAAATTATGGGACTGCATTGGGGCATACTTTCGACCAAACGTCACCAAAGAGTTGTTAGAAGTGTTGGGGTACAATTTAGATGTCATGCATAACAAGTTAAGTCAGTTTATCCCACAAGATGTTGACGCCATCACCGAGGGTGTTGCAAAATTAGATCGGGTGAGTTAATCGTCATTGCATCCTGTTTTGTATCTATTTAAACTACACTTGAGGTTTTGATAACCAATGTCTATTAGATTCTAACCATACTTGCATAATTAGATTCACAATGGTAACGTTTTCGACGGAAGTGCAGCTTTTGACGCCATTGCTCAGCAGGAACAGAATAGAAAATCCCCTGCTGTCAAACCCGTGGAGACTAATTTTAAAATAAATACTACCGATGGTAAATGTTATACTCCTTTTGCCACTAAATTTTAGTTTATGTACAGCCTACGATAAGCAGCTTTCTAACAAATGAAATTCAGTTTTATACCAAATACGTGTTTCTTAGAAGAATTTTTCTTTTTAACTTGTATTTTAGACGAAGATGGCCTCATAACGCAGGCAATTTTAATTGGAGACATCGAAGCTGCCGTCTCCTTATGCTTCGCAAGCAAGAGATATGCAGATGCGATGATTATTTCTATCACCGGAGGCCCAGAATTACTGGCTAGGTCACAACGCAGATACTTTGCAGAACACAGCGGTTCCCTTAATTTTCTTATCGACTCGTTGGTGAACGAAAACTGGGTGAACATCGTTAAGAACTGTGACATACGTGACTGGAAGGAGGCATTAATAGGAGTGTTTGCAAATGGCAATTCTGAAGAATTAAGCGTGCTTTGCGGTAAAAAAGAACACGTTTATTTTCCTTTTTGTGTAAAATATATTAACGAGTCCAGTTTATATAAATGTGGTCCGTTGCAGACATGTTGGGAGATCGGCTGGCATCCTCCGATGACCCATATCTCAGAAAGCAAGCCCAAATCTGCTACGTATGCTCTGGAAACGTGAACAAGTTGGTTGCAGTGTCGAATGCCAATATCCAAGAACTCGCGGAACTGGTAACGATAATGCAGAAAGCTTTGGAACACGTAGGGATTAGAGCTTCTCGAACCGAGGAGAACGTCGCTTTGGTTATATCTCAGTATGCTGAAATGTTAGCTGCCGAAGGGAATTTTGAGTCTGCGTTGAATTATTTGGGCAGCAGTCAAGAGCCAAGAATCATCACGCTGCGAGATCGGCTGTGTCGAGCACTGGGTTACATACAGCCCGAAGCCCAGCGGAATATGTCTAGAGAACCTGCTTCGAGGAATTATTATGACCAATCTAGGAAACCCCAACCGATACAGCAAAATGTATACCCAACTGTACAACCTACTCAGTCTACAAATCATTGGAACACTGCTCCAACGAAATCCTATGGAAGTAATATCAACCAATATAGCCCGATGCAGGCTCCGCCTTTGGCAACTCCAACTATTCCAGCAATGCAACCTCTTTCGCACGACCAATATTCAAATCAGCAATCGTATGGACAAATTCCTGGTCCATTACCTGCTGCGCAGCCACCTCCACCACCTCCACCTACATCAGGATCGAGCCTTGGGGGATCACGACCATCCAGTGTCGGGCCTCAAACACGATCTAAACATATTGTAGATCCATGTGTCAAGTCGAGCTCAACCTACGGTCAAAGTGGTTTTTCTCAGCCACAAATGTACAATTCTCAACAAGTCTCACCGATCCCAGGTTACTCGTCACAAAATATCTATCAGCCACAAACTTCGATGCCTCAGAACCCATATGCAGGACATGTACAGAACCAAACGTTCAATTCGCCCTTGCCAGAGCCACAGAGAGACGTTCAGTCTGGAATTAATGCTCCAGAACTGTCAAACACCATACAACAGCAATTTTATAATCCCATTAGATCTCAACCACCTACGCAAATGCAGTCTTATAATAATGAAAGTGTCTACCAGTCTACGATGCAACCGTCTGGATGGAATGATCCACCTATTGGAAAAAGTTCGCGAACACAGGTTAGTTTAATCTATGAATTAACTTAACCTATAAAAGCTTGTAACATGGGTCGTTGTCTTCCAAAACGATAAAAAAATTCAGTGCATTAAGTATAATACAATTAGTTAAAGAGTATCGTATGTGTGAATGTGTTTGGCGCGAAATTCTACGTTGAAAGGTGATTATTAGTATTTAGTTATTTTAGAACTCTACGAGTAGAGGCAATAATGCATTCCGGTTATTAGTTAATTTGTTTTGTACATTTGATGTAAGATTGCAATTCAAATCACTGATACATTGTCCGTTCGAATGATGTAGCCAGTTCTGGCACTATACAACAAAAATGAAATGTCTGCGGAACACGCTGGTACCAGGAAGTGGAAAGCAATGCATTCGAAGAGTAGTGACTCGAAGGTAGCTGACTTCCTATAATCAGAGTGCTATCCTTGCCGAATTTTAAATTTGTTATTCTTGTCAATTATAGTTACAATCACCCTCGAATTGGTAGAATTCCCTAAAAGACTACAAAGACAGTCTGATCGATTGTTACGTAATCATTAGTTTTCATTGTGATATTGTATTAATTACCATAGTGTGATATTTAACGCAATAGAATTCTCTTTCATGCAGCCAGTTATCATTGTACTGAGTATTGTCGCTGCTTTCATTTCCTGCCTGACTCATCGTAACAATGTAACCATCATTGGACGAGTCGATACAAAAATATTTGTTCTTTCAGTCTAAGCCAGAATTTCAACCACAGAATCCAATTCTTCATCCTCTCTTGGGAGCTTCGCCTCAACAAGATCCGAATGTAAGTACATTTGTGTAGCGAAGTCTGTAAGAATGTGTATATTAATTAAATTTAATCGACCCATTTATTTAGATGGTACAGGACGGTTATTACGGTGACTCTCAAATTCCTTACAATCAGCAGCAATATGGCAATCAGATGCAGAATTCTGGAATTCCCATAAATAGATCGATGGAACCCCTGCAACCTGCCCAAGTTGCTCAATCTGCACAGCCAGAACCTGAAAAGCCAAAGGCACCGATACCCGAAGAGCACGTGCATCTCAAGACCGTTCTCGATGAACTGCGATATCACTGTCATGAAAATGCTAAAAACCCGGTAAGATAATAAAGTTCAACATCTTTGTATGATTCTCCCAAGAATGAAATATTTTCATTTACATTTCCAGCAAACCAAGCGAAAGCTGGAAGACGTTTCGAAGAAACTCGAAGTCTTATACGATTGCCTCAGAGAGAATAAGGTAAATAGTTGAGACTTGATTAGACAGAAACTATTCATTATTAGACGAGCATAGCCATAACAAATCTCTTAAGAAAATTACTGAACAGAAAACGATTCGTTCTTGTAATACGCTTACTAACCTATATTTTTAATAATTCCCTTTTTCCCCCTCTGGGTATTTGGCACTGATGTAATTTTTCTGCTCTTCTTACAGCTTTCACCGAATACTCTAAACGATCTGCATCAAATATCTCAAATGATTCAAACTGGAGATTACACAGGCGGGCTGAGTCTGCTCACTCGACTGGCATCAAGCGCTGACTTCAGTACGATAGCATCCTTCATGCCTGGAATTAAAGTATTACTTCAAAGTGCTCTACAATTAGGCGTCTATATTAGATAAGGGTGTAGGTACGATTGGATAATCGAGACGGCATTATTGTCAAAGAGACTGACTTGTGTACATCGAATTTTGCAGTGGGTCGCGAAATATTATTAACAATATTCGACGTGTGCACCGATGTCGGCATTCTGAAAATAAAGTCTACCATTAATGGAGCTGTGAACATTCTTGGTGTGACTACGGTTATATATCGAAAAGAATCACATAGATGTAAAGTGAGGTTAACTTTTATTGATGAGTTGCAAGTAGAAGTACTTGTATTGGATATTGCGATTGTGTAAATGGCTGTTGAATCTTAAATGATTAAAAACGTACGCTTCTTCGATCCATGTGATCGTTAGAGCACCGTGCAAATGTCAATGCCATCTTTCAAAATATTTATACGATGCCAATTCGCGTAGACGGTAGTTCACGATTGTTAATCGGGTGATTGAATGACATGATAATGCTGCGATTACGGCTGCATTATGCGATTTCACGGATCAATAATTCATCGCTGTTGTAGCGAATTGAAAATGGTTTCACGAAATTCGCTTATTACACATTACAGTGTATGCTTTACTAAACCGCATAACTTATAGCCATATGAAGTTTTTTATGTAATAAATAAATATCTATACGTTTATACACAGCTTGCCAATATTCCCAATACTTTGTAAATATATTATATAGATCTCGCATTATAAAACCGATAGTTTTAATAAACACGGAATTTAATTACAAATTATACACTCCATTGCTTCGCTCGAAAGCAATGCTGCTTTGCAATACATACTTCTACGTAATCACTGATTTTGAACGGTTGTACTGGATAAATTTTCCGGCATTTAGGAAACAACTAAACTATGCAAAATAGATGCCTTCTCGTTGATTATGAACTTTTGAAGGAGTTCTTCTAAGGGGTCGATTCCATCTCTGGCAGCTTGACGTCTCATGGCTTGTTTCACTTCTTCTCGCACTCCTTTGTCAGCACCTCTTGTTGCGATTCGTCGATCTGGTTAAAAAAAATTATGTTACATATGTATATAACATGTAAAATAGAAATTTATAATGCATTAAAATTCATTCGCGTTGTAATCGAATTCTTGTTTACAATATTTTAATGCGCACTTTGCAACAAACCAGAACCAGGGGCTATGTCTAAGGACACTCCTCCGCCATGTTCCGTCCACAGATATGTCAATTCTTCCAAAATATCCACACAGATGATATAACTTTGGAAAAGGGGATATCCAAAAGCTCCTCGACTGATAATTCGTTCTGTTATTGTCGACAAAGTCGCTGCCTCTTGTGGCCAGTCAATTTGCATTAATACGAGTGCATGTCCCAAAGCCAAGTCTCCGGTTCCCCCAGTTAATGAGAAATTATCCTGAAGTAAATTCTAAGGTAATCGAGACTTTATGCCAAATGTATGCAATTAAACTGTTTACCTTTATTGCTGATAATAATAATCTGCAGCAATATTGCAAAACGGAGTACTTGGTAAGGGCTAGGAAATGTACGTGTCGAACAGCTGGTACGGTCAACGTAGTGGAAACTTTCCCACGAGTCGAAGGCAGGTTACTGGCTATTGCCACTATACAATCTAACATAGTCTGAGAAACGGAATCTTGCTTAAAAAGATTTATTACCGAAGTTTTGTAGCCAGAAATTATTAGTGACAGGTCTTCGACCAACCTTGTAATCTTTGAGGAAGAAACATGTGCTGGCCAGGCGTAGGTTTTTGCATAAATTGTCTTCTTCTTGCTGAAGTCTTGGTAATAAATGGTGGTACATACATTTGTATACAGCTAAGTCTGTTAAAAAAGGATACAGCCAGGGATCTAGCCGTAATTGTTTGCTAAGTTTTATGAGCTCTCTTTTCAAATGTGCATTCGAATGCAATATGTCCCATAGTTCGATGGAAAGAGCTAATCCATTGCCACCGTACTCTCCGTCACTGGTTAAAACTGTTCCGATGGCATCTTCTCTTTTTCGCTTTTTAGGATTTGGTTCTAAATTTCGTACAATGCAGAATTCATTGAAAGAGGAGATAATGAGGGATTAATATTCTCTATAATATTGTAAGTTACTTACCAGCAGTGGAAACAACAGGTTCGATAAACGCTTCAACAAGACAGTAAGTTACGTCTCCTGAATTGACGAATCCTGTATGATCGTGCAGTATCCTCAGAAATACCACAATAATACATGTAGAAAGTTGACGTATTAAATTCTCATCACAATTTCCTGTTATATGAGATGCTGCGTACTGTTGTAACCTTTCGCTGTACGTTTCCCTACTCCATGGGAGAGAAAATAAACTACTCAACTCCCAGTTTAATTTCTTCCCAATTAATTCTAGTACTTGAAATAATTTATCCCATGGCTGCTGGATTTGAAAGTCTTGCGGCTGTTCTATGTAGGCTAAGTAGAATTCCACTGCTTTGCATAGTAATCTTAAGCTCAATTTTGGATTCAAGTCAACTGGAGCAGCACCGAGAAGAGGCAGCGCATCGCAAGCTAACAGACGTCTAAATCCATTAACGGCATGACCGGGATGACTATGTTTCTCTGCCGTTAACAGGGTTTCTACTAAGCGAGGCTAGAAATAAATGCAATCAGTATTCTATTGATGCAAATGCATTGCTTATATATCAGGTAAATGTTAAAGAAAATACAACTACAGGATATATTTTGAATCTTACTCCATGAGTCGAAACAGTTTGAGGAAATCGATGCAGGAGCAAAAGTAATAACTTGCAATGTTCCATTGTATCCTCGCTGTGATCTGCGGTCATTATGAGCAAACGATGTTGAAGATCCTGCGGTATATGCTGAAACATTTGACATAAAAATTCTCCTTCCGAATTGCACTGCTCTGAACGTAAGCACGACGTGATGTTTTCGATTTCCTTCCATATTTCATGGTCATCCGGAAAATTCTGAAATCTGTTTACACGTTAAAAAGTAGAATAAGACTATCCTATTTAATGCCGCTTTACTTTCAGATTTCTATCAAGAAAGGGAAAAAATTTTGATTGAACTTACATTTCGCTAAAACACTTTGCGGCCTCCTTCACGTTTTTGGAAAGCTTTTCAATGTGATAAGCTTCAAACTGTTAACAAACAACTAATTATAACATGAGATTTATTTTCAATTAAAGTCTAAATTATAAAAGTGTCGTAACACGGTATTAACCTGTACTTTAAAACTATGTGGAAACAACGACTTCGCAGTGATCAACCAGGACTTTGCAGCGTACATATCATGTGGCAATGCTTCCTTAGCTCGTGAGATCAAATAATCCTCCTTTGATCGCGGATTTTCACCAGGTGCTGTCTTTTCAAGCATTGTGAAATCGCAATTTGATTTCGACTTGACAAGTGTTAACAAATACAATCGACTGCAATACTTTGATATAGGTTATGATTCCATAAACATTAAAATGTTATTTCTTACATGTTACACTCATATCTTTATTATATTAACAACGCATTGATTTATCTTAATCACATTCATTTCGGTTTATAAATTGTTGTAATAAAATATCTGATGTCTCGTTTATGTTGTAATTAACTGTTTATTCTTTTGAGGTTAATTTTTGCCGTCCCCAAATTTACGAATATTTTGACGGTGCCACTAAATTGCTGCACGACTCCATGACCCTGTCCGTGAGCAATCTCCCAACTCATCTCTGTTGCTCATAGCAGACTCATCTCTTCTGTTAATCAGCTCAGAGTTATCAGCTTCACGTTATGTTTCCCGCGAGTAGGAGTCTCGTCGGTTACGTGTTCCGTGGTGCTTTGCAAGATTCGAACCGGCAAAAGTTTTGGAAAGGTATTTGTAGTTTTGAAAATGAAAGTACTTGGTAATAGAGATGGATTTATGGCGATTTTTGCGTTCCAAGTAGATTTTCAATCAATACCAAGGGTATCAAATAGTTTTAAGGCCTAAATGTTGTAGTTCCGTATCATTAGAGGTTATGTGAGTTACAACTGAGGGTAAAGTTCTTTTTTTCTGCTTGTATCACGACGTTTAGGGTTAAATCTGGAACATGTTTGCGATGTTACTTTCAAACTTAAAAATTTTTGTGGTTATAAATGGTACGTTGTTTTTAACAATCCTCTATTTGTTAGCGTTTACATCTACTACCACTCACCCAACGAAAATGACTACACCGTTGGACCAAGTTCCTGATGTCGATATCGACCCCAGTGGCGTATTTAAATACATCTTGATCAATGTTCACGACGATAAGAACGACAAGAGCAAACCCATCGTTAGGGGCTATGCTAGATCGACGTGGCATGGTAAGTGAATTTTGTTAAATTGAATTAATACACTTAGAACATTGAATGAAATTGTATTAATGATTAACGATTTGATTGCAGCTTGATTATTAGTTGATCGGTACCAAAAGTAATAAATCTCATATGCAATGCTATTAATTTTCAGCCAGAATTAAATAAGATTAAATATATTTCTTATTCGCTAAAATGGCTATTAGTAATTTCATGTTTCTAAGATAATGGTATTCTTACCTGCAATGGAAGATATTTTAAAAAGTATTCCGTTTCCTCTTTTAACCGTACAGTTTTGCATATAATGCTATTTTTATTGTAGACATTACATGTTATGCATATAATAAAAATGAATCATACAATGGTATAGTATTCTAAGGACACCCTAGTAATTCAAAGTTTGATGCACGCCCCGTACATTCACTGAATCGTAACACATGCATACGTTCATATTCAATGGAACAAGAGAGAAAATGATGAGCCTCGATAGGCCTCGATTCAGGTAATCGTAAGATTAATTCAGTAACGAGTTTTCAGCATTCTTCACAAACAGAAACAGTTGCATAGAAAATATGATTAACAATCAGTTCACTCGTACGACATGCTGTTGCTAATAATTCTGAGGTTAATTGTAGATATCGATACGCTGTTGGGAAAATATGCCTCTGACTTCATCGGCTGTACAAGCATGAAAACAGCATACTGGCAGTTAGACCATGATGTCTCACATTTTTCTTCTCGAGTATTAAAATATCCTTACGATACGACGTCCTTACGTGCACACACATGGATTATGCTCACTGTTCCTCTTTTCTTCGAAACGAAAGGAACCGCTATAAACGAAACGGGGAAAGACTGATGATTCTCCAGGAAACGTACAAAGAAGATAGGAAAATATATCTGCTTTTAAATTTGCAGTAAATTTTAGAGAGAGGTTAAAATCCTGTTTCGACCTCCCATCCGTAGTGGTTTCGCTTGAATAAAAATTGACGCTGTAGACCATTCGACCGCTGATAACAGTAACTAAGGCGCCAATCTTCGAGTTCCAACCTCGGTGTGCCATTCAAGTCTTCGGTCTGTCGAACACTCTTCGGTCAGAAATGTCTTGGCTTGCACAACTTTCACTACGATGCTCTTCTGCAACACCACCAGGCTCGTTGAATGCTGAAGCCCCCCTTGCAGGTTTTGTTGCTCGAGTTTTTCACGTTTTTGGATTGATTGTTCTTCGATGCAGCCTGGAGTCCTTCTTCGGGGACCTCGAGCTGCCCTCAGGCACTTCCGTGCTCGCTGTATCGCTCTATCAAGTCCATATTCGATGTTTTTCTTTCCATCCGCTCGATGCTTTCCGTCTTCTGCTGGTCTTTTCTCGTCGGTTTCCCCTTATCAGACAGGACGTTTTCCTTATGGCTCGAGTCCTCCTCCGGTGGCGTTATCGTTATCGCAGATTTCGACGTTTTCCTAACCGGTGACGGGAATTTCACCAGGTCAGGGTCGTTTACACTGTGCATCAACGTGAAGGGCAGCTTCAACGAGACGTCCCCACCCATTGCGGAGATCATCAGTTTCACCTGGGGAAGAAATCCTTATGAGTGGAATAATGCTATTAAGGGGATGTGAAAGTGGCATCCGAAGAGTCCATCGTTCACGAAACTTTTCTCCGACCTGGGTGTGCTGAATCGTTTTAAACGATATCATGAATATGAAAGCTACGAAGAAGATCCTGACACCCATGAAATTTCATTTCTTATAACAAATTTTTTAAATTCCCATAAACAAATTTTTAACCAATTGAAATTTCATGGGTGTCAGGACCTTCCTTATAGCCTCCTTGTTTACATTGTGAAGTTTGAAACGATTCGCTGAACCCAGTCCGGAGAAAGTTTCATAAACGAAACCCCTTTGACGCCACTTTCACATGTTTCATTGTTCAGTCTTTTATGACACTTTTCTTTGAATTGCACGAGTCGAATCTTTCGAAATCTTCTCACGTGAATTTAGAGGCCCTGAATAAGGTCCGATACCCGTGAAATTCCATTTTTGTTCAAGCTTGTCTATTAATATTTTTAATTTTTTATCGAAAATTAAATTTCATGCTAGAATCTTTTTCAGGGCCTCAGCCATCGATTGAGGTAATTACGCGGTAGAAACGCTTTGGTCGCTGCAAATTAGGATTGTGTGGTAATTTCTAGTCGCGGAGAGTCGATTCTTTGTATTTTTCATCGTGGGATTATTTTTCACCTTGACGTAATAAGACACATAAATGGCGAAGACGTTTCTCTCCTCGGGTCCTACACCTGAACAGACCATCGTCGAGGCTAGTGTCGCACCAGGTTTGGTGTAACTATCTTCTAACGCGATCCAATTTTTTGTAGAGCTTTTCACGGGTCTGAGGGTGTAGGTCATCGACAGGGAAGATCCTGGTCCAATTGGACATCCATCCCGTGAAGAAACCAGGGCCACCACGTTTTTGAACTTCCCGTTGCTGAACATGCACACGTCGACGTGCTGGACTACGAACACCTGGAACATGTATATTTCGTAATGGTTAATGGACAGAGAATCGAAAAGGAGGGTTAAACGCTACTTTTATACGATATTTAAGGTGAAGTGAAACACGTCGAGGAACTTGATCGACGTCGGTAAAAAAGGTTCCTCTAAATACCTATGCTGCCGACGTTCGTTTTTATATCGACAACTGTGCCGAATTATTTTGGGTATTGTACTAAATTGCGTAATCCATATCCCCTTTTCGTACAATAATTATAAAAAAATCCAAGTAAAACTCCAGATGTCCTCTGGATTCATAGTTTTCGATGCCGTAATTGACTGCAGAGTGCCACCCTGCGCCATCTGTGATTTTAGTTTCAACTACATTTTCTCTCCGAGATCTCGCGTTACCTTCGATTTAGCACAGAAGCGCATAAGACAGTTTTTTTTGCCTTTACCTGTTCAAATACGAGTTTCTCGATTACCAGTGTTCTAAATTATCGTACAATTGTCCGGTCTGGGCTAAGTTAAACAATTGTTTTCGAAAATCCAAATTTTGAAAGTGTCAGGATAATCCCTAGGTGTTCACTCGTCATGTGTCGAAGTTTCAGACGGTTCGGTTCAATACTCTTAAAAAAAAAAGTTTTATTCGGATCCACTGATATGGGGGTGGGCGGGGGGGGGGGGAGGTTTCACTTCACCTTAAGGCGACGCGAAAGGGCCCTTTCATGTGTTAAACTCTTCGTATCACTTTTCTCGGAACTGGACCCAACGAATCGTTCGAAATTTTACCACGTGAACATGAACACCCCAAGGCAGGTCCCGCGCCCATGGAATTTCAATTTTTTCAAGTTTGTCGAGATCTTTCATAAAAAATGAAATTCCATGGGTGTCGGGACCTTCCTTAGGGCGTCTACCCTCGCGTGGTAAAATTTCGAATAATTCGGTGCACCCTGTTTCGAGAAAAGTGCAATACGCGATTGGTTAACCCTTGTTCCGGGTATAGACGCCGCCCGATACNGTTCATGTTCACGTGGTAAAATTTCGAATAATTCGGTTCACCCTGTTTCGAGAAAAGTGCAATACGCGATTGGTTAACCCTTCAGAGGCCACTTTCATGTCTTACTCTGCTTTGAGTTAAGTAACGAGGACTCAGAGAAGCAAATTCGATCCGTTAATTTTGACTCGTATCGGGCGGCGTCTATACCCGGAAGCGTTCGTGGACCGCATCGATTTACCGAGAAAGCTCCTTCGAGGCTTTCGAGATAGTCGTGGCCATTGTGGAAGTTGGCCAAGTTGGTATAATCTCGCAAATAAGCTGGATCAATTGGCTCCAGGGATGTGGTTAATCGAGCGGTCCGTTCGGTCGGTTTTCGTTATGCGCGTCCGTTCTTCCCGGCCGATAAGGCAGGGCTCGCGGGTACCGGCGTTAATTACGAGCGGCCCCTCTTAAGGGAGTTCGCGCGTCGCGGAATTTCCGAGTGATGTAGTTAATGCCCCAAGGACCGTAAAGCGGAAGGTGAGAGCTCCTGATTACGAGCGCGCGGTTATCTCCTCCTCGGGATGCGACGTGCGAGGGATTTCGATTTCCCCATCTTGAAAGGATTCCTTTAAGGGCTTTCCGGGGCTCGCAAAAGAAATTCCCACCCGGTGCACCCCGCAACAAGTGTTTGCCTTGCGGCGAGCCCACTTAAGCGAGGTTAGGGCTCGGAATCGATACCGCGACGTGTCTCGGCTTAAGGGGATGTGAAAGTGCCATCTGAAGACTCAATCGTTCATTACGCTTTTCTCCGAACAGGGTGTACCGAATCCTTTCTAATCTTACTCCGTGAATATAGACGCTGTAAGGAAGGTCTCGACACCGCTGAAATTTCATTTTTTATAATAAAAAAGTCTACTAATTTGAAAAAATTGAAATTTCGTGGGCATCGGCACCTTTCTTATGGCTTCTATATTCACATCGTAAAGTTTGAAACGATTCGATACGCCGAGTTTGGAAAAAAGTTTCATGAACGATTGACATGCCACTTTCACATCCCCTTAAAGTCAATAAAAATCTGTACAAATATATAAAAAATCTGTAAAAGATCTATAGAAATCTATAAAAAATCTGTTCATACAGATAAGTATTGAAATTCTTCTGTGTTTAATCTCCATCGCGAAAGAAATGCCGTTTGATCGAATGCCGGAGCTGTTTTCGCAATCGGGAATTCCAGCGGTCTTCGGGAATCCCATTTGAAAGCCGGCATCGTGCCCCGCATCGCCGTGCGATATACGGAAAGGATCGAGAATTCCTGCTCATCGATTGACCCGCGATTGATACCCCCCCGTTAATTTCCTGCCAATCACCGACGCCCCTACGCCGGCAGACCGCGGCTTTGCCACGTTCGCCTTTATCGCGGCCCGGAATGATAACGCAGAGCCGACATTATGGCATCCCGCGTTCGTATACACGGGTGGTCTTGAAAGTTCACCCATCCCAGTCCTGACCGCGCCCAACGTTGCTTAACTTCGAGGACCGGACAAACTGCCTTTAAAGCGTCATGAAAGCGTGACATACATATTAAAATAATACTTTTCCCCGAACTGGGTGCGCCAAATAATTTCAAACTTTAACACGCGATCATGGAAGTCCTAAGGAAGGTCTTGAAACTCCCGAAATGTTTTCTTCTTGTTTAGGGATGAATGAAACATTAATTCTTTTTTTTTAATTAAATATTCTAACCTTCAAGACCTTACTTAGGACCTCCGTGATCACGTGTCAATGTTTCAGATTATTTGGTGCACCCAGTTTGGCGAAAAGTGTTGCGAATAATTTGATCAGTCGGATGATACTTTTGTAACGCCTTAAAAGCAGTTTTAGGAGGTTTATTTTTTATCGTGACGCGGTGACGCGCCCAAAGGACTCTGGCCTTTATCGTCGCGTCGCGTCAAAATGGCGGATTTAGTCGCGAACGAATTGCGAGACCTTCACCCCTTCTGCGGCTGCCTTGACCCAGGTCGGCGTCGATGGCCCTTTATCTAGTATTCACGCTCACCTCAATGAGCGGCTTTAACTCCGCTTTTATGCCTCGCTTTACCGAGATGCACCTTAAGAGCCATGAAACCCGAACGAGCCGGGCTCGCAAGTTTTTCCGCCATTTTATGCCACGCCTCTGAGAAGCCGAGACCTGTTTTTAATAATTATTGATAGTTAAGGTGTTACGAAAGTGTCGTGTATATACCCCGAGGAAAGAATTGCGCCGAACCAAAGAAACAATTTGTTAATCCGAATAATAATTATCTGACGGGGATGAACTTGAATAAACTGAATGAAACGTTTCTTAGGAATTAGGACAATTTATTTGAGTTTATTCCAGTCAAATAATTATTATCCGAATTAACGAAATATTTCTTCGGTTGCATGCATTTTTTTTTTAGTGTATGAATGTGGGGCTGAAGTTGTCATTATATTTACAAGTACTGTCGATTGATTGTCACACTTTTTTAATTGAGTTGTCTGTTAGTCGCGAATTATTTGCGGAAATTTGTATTAACCAGAGGTATAGGTTATGAGCTCTTCTTACCGGAGGGATGTGGGCGTAAAGTTGGTTAGCGCAGCTTATTAAATTTAAGGTTATTACACTTATTAGATCGAGTTACTTGTTAGTTCTGGCTGTCCGGCCTGGATATCAAAACCGGACGCCATTTTAAATGGTTTTCACTTAGCCGTTAATAGGGCCCTGTAGGGTCCTTAATTGCTTAGCACTTTAACGATCAATTTTCATTAAGCAGGGCATATTCCACGCATATTACATTCTGGGGTGATAGAGAATAAAGGAGTTGCGATTTTCGCACCTTTTTACACATTTCTGAACGACATTGCGAACATTATCGCGTTTCCACTTGATTGTCGATGTTCGCGGAAAAACAATTCACAGTCATAAGGTGAAATTTTACGTGCAGCAACAAACGACAACACTTGAAAATGTGTATATCTTCACCCTGACCTTTATCATATTAAGTGGTATGATATATGTTATGGATAAAATTAAGCTTGTCTAATTTCTTTCGCGATACTTTTTAACCAAGATGGCCGTTTTGTCGATGCTCGTCAACAAAAGTTCTGCCATGGCCGCACGAGCTAAAAATGTACTTTTTACATTATTTAACGCTCCTTGTCCCCTGTTATTCCCACTTGACAACGTACTGAGTTGATTAAGCACGGAAACTGGCATTTCCCTTGTCCGTGAATACTTCAGAAGCTACTTCCAAAAACATGAAACGTTACAAGAGGGACGGAGAAGGTCTGAATGTGAAAGCAGCCTCGGGACCGTTATTTCGAAACAATGGGATTAGACTAATAAATTACAAACAAGATTTTCGGAGACCTTTACAATATGGATTTAATCCAATCCTTGAAAATTATCATAGATACCCGGCCATTAAATCCCGATTTTTAATCTCAAAAATGAACTTCTTGCGCTCTGGGTTCCACTTATATGATCGCTTCTTTTTATTTACGTAAAATATTCGTTCCGATATTTTTCATATTTTCCCCCGCGTTCGTTTTCATGTTTTCGACAGTTATAATTTAATCGGACCGCTTTAATCATAAGATGGGGGGAAATTCCCGTGATTTCCTATGATTGGGTACAGTTAGCCAGGGATTACCTTGATTCTTCTTACTGATTTGTTGCTATTGTTGGTCACGTTAACGTTCACCTCGATTGGGTCGCCGTGTGCGTAAATTGCACGATTCAGTTTCGCCTCCAGGAGTACTCGGCCATCGCTAAGTAAAAATGGCTTTTCCACGGCTGCCGATGGTGGAGTCGGTTCTGAAATTGAATCATATCATTGAAAGAGGATCAAAATGATAGTACTAAACGTGTATCGCGTTTCATTCGATCATACAATTTATGAAAACCTAAATTCGATAAGTAGAAATGGCTTTTTTCGACGGCCACTGATCGCGGTATTGGTCAAAGTATTAAACCCGTATCGATTATCGAACACGTTGACCGCGAGGGCTATTAAAAATACTGTATTTATACATATTGACTATTAAACAGTTTAATTTAAAAAATATGACATTTTCAGGTCAATCTTCCCAAATAAAGTGTCATTTCCTTCGACTCACCAGTATCACTCATAATCTCGCTGTCATTATCCACGCTCATAAATCTCTGAATATCCCCAGCTACGACTCTGGAGATCAAAGAAGGTCCTGAGGTAGAACCTACACTGTAAAGGGTGGTGGTTGGAGGTGGAGGAAGGTTCGTCCTCTGGATCACTCTGATGCCCATTTGAACAATCGACTTTCGGTTTTGCTCTCCATCGGCGCAATTGGCTGACCACGTGGAACAGAAAATGACATTTCGTTATCATCTTAGCCTTATAAAAAAATGAGCCTTAAAACCCGGCATTGATTGAGCTCCATTCATATTTTTCTCTATAATTTCGATTGCACTGGTACTAAACGACACCTCATAGTACAATTAAGACAAAAATAAACATCTCTATAGATCAATTTAAAAAAATTCATGGCTGTCAGTGCCTTCCTCAGGGCCTCCAATTTGACGAGATAAAATTTCTAACGATTCGGTATCTTCAGTCCGGGGAAAAGTTTCATAAACAAAACCCCTCGGACGCCACTTTCGTATCGCCTTAAGGCGAGTAAAAAATTGTTTATAAAAAATGTCATGGGCGTTAGTGCCTTCCTCAGGGCCTCCAAATTGACGAGATAAAATTTCAAACGATTCAGTTAGGAGAAAAGTTTCATAAACGAAACCCCTCGGACGCCACTTTCGTATCACCTTAAGGCGAGTGAAAAATTGTTTATAAAAAATTTCATGGTCGTCAGTGCCTTCCTCAGGGCCTCCAAATTGACGAAATAAATTTCAAACGATTCGGTATTTTCAGTGCGGGGAAAAGTTTCATAAATGAAATCCCTTGGACGCCACTTTCGTATCGCCTTAAGGCGAGTAAAAAATTGTTTATAAAAAATTTCACGAGCGTCGGTGCCTTCCTTAGGGCCTCCAAATTGACGAGATAAAATTTCAAACGATTCGGTACCTTCAGTTCGGGGAAAAGTTTCATAAACGAAACCCCTCGGACGCCACTTTCGTATCGCCTTAAGACGAGTAAAAAATTGTTTATAAAAAATTTCATGAGCGTCAGTGCCTTCCTTAGGGCCTCCAAATTGACGAGATAAAATTTCAAACGATTCGGTACCTTCAGTTCGGGGAAAAATTTCATAAATGAAATCCCTTGGACGCCACTTTTGTATCGCCTTAAGGCGAGTAAAAAATTGTTTATAAAAAATGTCATGGTCGTCAGTGCCTTCCTCAGGGCCTCCAAATTGACGAGGTAAAATTTCAAACGATTCGGTATCTTCAGTCCGGGGAAAAGTTTCATAAACGTGTCTCCTCGCTTTCATATCACCTTAACGGTCCTCCAGTAACGAAGCGTTCGGGGCCGATCGTTAAAAACGCTCACGTAGATGGAACTAATCACTCGAGGGATCTTCGGGGGGTGAGGAGGGGTTGTTTTAACGAGCGGTCACGATGACGGTGATTAAATGCACCAATTAAGCGGAGGTACAAGTCCCGACTTTTCCACCGATGTCGCCGGAGCAGCTTAACACACCCTTAAAGGTGTTCACAGTTCGCGCAATTTCCCACTTCTTGCTCCTTTCAAGGCAGACGATTCGATGATACGATCGCGTAAAACCTCTTCTAGGGTGCCACCCCTTGACGCGAGTCTCCCCCATTGTGAAATTACACGGTTATTGGCTAATTCGAAGAAAGGAAAATGGCGAGCGAGGAATGTGACAATGGATTTTCTCCGTCGACAATGCCGGCCATTATCTCGAAATCACATCAAAGGAAGACGCCGGTGGGAAATATGGACGCGGTACTTAGACAAAGGAAATGCTCATACGAATGACAAAGGGGTTAAGATGCTATGAAAGGGTCAATCTATATATATATCGAAACGTCAAAATATTTATAAAAATTTCTCCAACTGGGTGGACCGTCATTTGGAACTTTATCACGTGATTTAACGCGTAGACATTTTCTTTCGGATACATTTTTCAGAATGATTTCTATTGTCATTTGGGCGATTGGCTGAGGTTTATCAATTTTCGTAGATTTTTCTATGCGTGGGCTATCCATGGAATTGCGCTATCATCGGTCGATTTACTTCCCAGAGGATGTTAACGGGGAAACGGGAGAAATGGGCGCAGGAAAAGGGAGAGGATTGAATTCACCTATCGGCTTATCGATTTTGTTACGGCTATTTTAAAGTCCTCGGAATACGAGAAACGGGAGAGGAATTCTCTGATAAAATTAGAATTTTAGTCATTTTATTTTAGATGAACATTCAACGAGCCAATTTTTACAGACATTGGGAGTGGTTCCGTTCTTATGCCAGTTAACGAGAAATATCTCTTTTTCGACGTACCCAATCAAATCGTGCCTTTCTGACAGATATATAGATGCCATTTTGTCCATTATTATTTAGATAATAAATTAACTTTTAGCGATTATGGAGAATTCTCGCGTGAGAAGGTATATAAAAGAATGTTGCTTTTAAGTAGGGTGACTGAAAAATATTTTTCTATAGCGACAACGTGATAGAGGTTGCTATCAATCGAGTCGTGTCTTTTTAACAGAGACGTAGCCGCCATCTTGTCTATTATTATTTAGATGATAAATGAATTTTTAGCGATTATGGGGAATTTTCGCGGCCGGCGGAGATTTAGCGCCTTCACATTTTTGCCGTCCTCGGGGCGCCGTTGAAATTGTGCTATCGCCGGTCGATTCACTTGCCAGGGGGTGTTAATGGAAAAGCGAGAGAGAAGGGGGCAGGGAAAAGTAGAAAATAGGATCCCGATATTGGGCCCGTCGATTCGTTCCGCCCATTTAACAATGCCGGGCGAAAAGATCTGCAAAATTGCCGACGATTCGTTCAGAGGGAAACCGATAATTCGAGGGTAACTAAATAAAAGAGAAATAGACAAATTACATTGAGCAAAAAAATTTCGATTCCGCCAAAGAAATAGTTTGCTAATTAAGACAATAATTACTTGACTCAAATAAACTCCAATAAATTGGACGCAACGTTTCATCGGAATCGTGACAATTTATTTGAGTTTATTTCAGTCAAATAATTATCCTTTAAATTAAGAAAATATTTCTTTGGTTCAATTCTTTTTTTTCCCTCGGGGTAGAGAAGACGTTAATTGCCGTTAAATGAAAATAGTCAATAGATGTTCCACCGGATTTCTGAAAAAGTTGAATGCTCCCCATTTTGTCGCGCCGTAAATAATCGAGATATCGATTTATTTACGGCACGTCTGAACGATCTTGCCTTTTTATGCTCCCATTATTTTCAACCGGTTAATCCGTGTTACGCAATTTTATTTTATTTTCCATGCTTCGCCCATTACTTGGTCCGTTTCCTTGACGGATTGCCTCCCTTTGTGTGGTTTTATCATCCCAGGATATATGTACAATGTGAATTGTTTTTTCTTAGACAATGAAGGGAATTTTTATTTATGGGTAAAGTTTTTTATAATTCCTTACCTACATACACTTTAACCTTGTAGCTGGTTCCAATGGGGGGTCCATTGTACTCTTTTGCAGGAACTAATTGAACCGAAGGTGGTGCCAATGGCGTCATTCCCATTGTGAACGCATATGCGTTGGATCCTAACCTCCTTAGCAGAGTTTCCTGAAACCGAAAATTTTCTATTATTTTATCGTGCCTCCCTGTGCCATTGTTTTTAATTTTTCTCAGCTCCACTTAGACAAAAAGTCATCAATAAAATGATAAAATAATCCTCAGCGGACTGTCCCCAAACTGAAAATATTTTTCTACTTTAATCCTGCCTTACGTCTCACTTTTTAAAATTTTTATAATTTCTTCGAAAACATGAATAATATTCAAGCCTAATTAAAAGCCAATCTTGATGTTTTTACATGTTGAATAATCAAGTTAATGGTGAAGATCTACGTTTTAATACGTACTCGGCAGTCGAGTAATTCAGACTCTCCGAATGTATAATTTAATTAATTAAAAGTGCAAAACCAGGCTGGTTTATTGCGCTTCGAAATCACTCGGATCGATGGACTCGAATTATTCAATTCGGGGGAAACTGCCAATCACTGATAAGAGGTTTCTTCAAAAGGCCCCGAGAGGATTTGAAATATCTCGCGATTATCGCCTTTATTGAATTATCCCCTTTATCGAATCATCTCACCAGAGATATTTCCCCTTTGCAATTCTCAATTTTTGCCGGATTTATTGCGCACTCGTCGTGGTGGAATTTGTTGGGACGGAGGAGCGCAATGCGTGTTAATTAAATTTCCCTCGGTCTGCCGAGCAATAATACGTCGCCGGTGCCTTTGGCTTAGATATGAGGATCGGTCATACAAAGTTTGAATAATGAGAACGATATTTTGCAAATGCTCGGCTTCATCCAAGCTTTACGTAAGCTTCTACGTATCGTCATTCGGTTTTCCCGGCTTTTCCTTCCCATTATTTGCTCTGTGGTATGTAGAGGTATGTAGGGTGTACAGGATGTACGGTATGTACGTCGAGATATGTACCGTGGCTCATAATAAATGAATGGTGATCGACATAGCTTTTGTTGCAGTCTTGGAGGGAAATAAAGAAAATTCCTGCCGAGGGAATGGAATCGAAGAGGCACTTCATTAAAAAAAAATCATTCTTTATTCATTTTTTGGGACTCTCTGTTTATTTCAATTTTTAACATTTTCTTTAGCATGTCTTCTCTGTTTATTTCAATTTTCAACATTTTCGTTCTTGTCGTTTTTCGCAATTTAGCGTTTCTCGCAGTCCCGGACGGAAATACGTGAAAAATGGTGTCTTTTGTTTTTGATGAAATAATTACGGCGCTTCGATTTTAATAATTTCTAGGAAGCTTTCTTCTATTCCTTGAAGTATTATTTGAAGTATTCTTTCTCCACGTCGAGGACTTCAATATGGCAAAGATGAGCTCTGTCATTTTCAACTTTCGCGGCAGTTTCACGTAACGAGAAACTTGCAGACAAGAAAATTGCGCTCTTTTGTGTTCTCTAACTTTTTCCTCTCCTTTTCTCCGTGAATTAAGAGAAACCGTAGCTGTGTATTCGAGGATAATAGACATCATAGTTCAGCAGACGTAAAGAAGACCGATATGATCGAATATGACGCGTCTCGCTTCTTTTCCAAGGAGAAAGATTTTCAAAATAAAAATCTAACATCTTTCTTATTTCAAAATAAATATTTAACGATAAGTAGCAACATTTAAACGATCTTCCAACCATCTGCCACATCTTCTAAGTAATACAAAAATTACCAATTTTTATTTCATCTTCAAACACGGTAACACGTGCATGAAATAAAATAACTATTTCTAAAAACATAGGAAGAACCTGAAATTGCTCATATTGAAAAAATAATTACAATCGAAATGCCAGGGTGATTGGAAAATAATGAAATTATTTTGGGCCTTCGCAATTTTTATTAAAATAAATATCGTGAGAAATATGTTATTTTTAAATATCTTCAGGTTTTTATTTTTTATCTACTTCTTGCAATACGTGTATAATTAAATATCATCCATTCAATGCCTTTCATTGGTCCAAAGCCGTCATTCTGATTTTATGAAATCGAAATCTGAGCCGATATGGCGCCATTCCGATGTCGAGTTCTTTCGAGGCGCATCTCGCGAAGCTTTGTTATCACGGCTCGCGTGGAGGGAAATTGCGCGAGCTGCATATAGAGGGGATCCAATCAGAGAAGCAGGGTGTCGGGAACGAGAGCGAAAGGGCCGTAAATATATCGAAAGATTCGATTAACTCGAATAAAAGGTTCCCCGCCATCGCGCGAATAACCCAATTTCTTCAGGGTTGCTCGGCCTACGTGTCCTCAACCTCTCGTATATATTTCACTTATTTTTCTCCGGCACTTTTCCTTCTTCCGTGAAAAAAAAAAGAAAAAAGAAAAAGCACAAGTCTCTTTGATCCGCTTCCGGTTTTCCTTCCATGACAAAATAATTTTTCTTCCCTTTTTCCATCGGGGAAAAATCGATAACGCGGAATGTTGGCGAGGCCTCGATAAACAACATAGGCATTCTTTTGCATAAATATTTAAAAAGATGCAGCGAGTATTTTATTTTATCACTCGATGATTCGGGAATATCTCTTATGCGAAGTCTTGATAAACAAAAGCCCCGAAGATGAATTTGCCTGGCGTGAATTTTCTTAGCTGTTAAATGAACTACATTTTTTTTTCTTTTCACTGCGCGTAGTTTATCTCGTAATTTTTTTTAATGGACATGCGGATGTATCGAACATTTCGTACCTTTGCCCGGACATTAGTTGGCGTTTATTTTTAGCGAGTTTAATAGGGATTTTCCTTTGACGCGTTGCTAGTCGCACGTAATGAGCAGACTGCCAATTAGAAGGGATTACTCGGTTACGCTTGTAATTAGGCGACACATTGAAAGGAATGGTTACATTAGTGGTTATTCGTGTTGACACTAACACTTACACATATATTGGCCCTCTTATACCGTGAAGGGCCCATTTTTCATATCTACGTTAAAAAGAAAGAAACGGGCGCGCTGATTAATAGCAAAAGTCGCAGGATAAATTTCCCCGGAAATGAGAATTTCTCTGCCGAAGCGTCCCATTATTTTTTCGTCGGCGTTATTAGAGTTTTGATTTATCCTCTCATCATCGAGGTCGACCTGACGTTTGCACGTACCATTGTTGGCTTTGGCGTTTATTTTCCATCGAGTATAATATGTATCGGTTATACGTGCGTCCGTAAAAAACAGCCCACGTGTTGCCCACGTATATACATTTTACTCTCCGTAATCGATTAAATCCCGTTTTACGGCTCTTTTATAGCGAAACTTATCCTTTAACGAAATCGGCAATTGATAGTCAATAAGTATCTCCCGAGGAGCAATTCCCGATTCGTCATCTCCTAACTCTGTTATAACGTTAATCCAATAAATTCCACGTGCCAGGTCAGACTCTATTTCGGTTGTTAACAATAAAAAGCATGCAATAAACCTAGGATTTTATAACGCAATCAAACTCTGATATAAACCAGGATTACAACGCGTTCAAGCTCTGATATAACCTCACACCGCGGAAAAGGATTCATTGAACCGAAGAAATACTTTGTTAATTCAAAGAATAAATGTCTCAATTAAACTCGAATAAATTGTATGCAACGTTTCTTCGGAATTGTGCAAATTTATTTCAGTTAATTCCAGTGAAATAATTTCAATCGATATATCATTCGATATCCAAAAATGAGGCGCAGTGGATATGTCGAATTTAATAATTATATCATTTTCACGAGTTAAGAAATGACCGGAAAAAATGTCAGGAAAAAAATGCCTCGACAGAAAAATGTCTGGGGTCTCATTTTTCGAGGGAATTTTAATTTTTCCTCTTTTAGTACTCTCGCATTCAATATTCGGCCGATATATCTTCTGTATATCGTCCGATATCCACGAACGAGGAATGGTTTCCTTCATCGTCGTCGTACTTGCTACATCCGCCATGCTTTTTATTGCTACCGTAAAAAAGCTCCCGCTTCTCCAGTCGTCCTTCCAGGGCTCTCTTGAGTTCCTTTATTCGATAAAACAAAGCAGGAGATATTCTGAGCCCCTTATCTCCCCAGGCTAAACAGCAGGCAGGGATGACCGTAAACCGAAGTAACTGAAAACGAGACCACGTCCACCCTGGAGTTGAGGTCTGCGGTTAAGGCCAAAAGCAAAGGTTCGAGATTAAAAGGCTGAGGGAAGTTCCACCTGTCCAACTTTTATCGAGGCCGAGATAGGATATCAGGAGACCGTCGAGATTGGGACCTTCTAACCTTCGATTGGTTTCTCTTGATCCTGCCCTTCGGAAAATGACAAACCAAAGAAATATTTCTCTATTCCGAGGATAATTATTTTACCGAAAGAAACCCGAATAAATTGGATGCGACATTTCATCGGAATTATGACAATTTATTTCACTTTATTTCCGATTATTCTTTGAATTAAATAAATATTTCATTGATTCAATTGAATTTTTTTTTTCTCAGGGTGCTCCTCGTCAAAAGGGAAAATTTCTTACAATGGTTTTATTATTTTTTTTATAATGATTAGTCAGCCCCTATTCGTGGTAATATTTTATTTCAAGTTGAATACGAGTCTCGTGAATATTCATAGTTTAATTATTAAATTTCTGCATCATTGTAGACAATGGGGACGTGGTAAATATTTACGGAACACTGGAAATCGATTATCAAAAATCGTTCTTACGCTCGGAATTCCAAAATTTCCGATACTAGTGAAGCCTTGTACAGAGATTGTTACATAACCTAATTTTTTATTATAAATTAATTGCGAATTTTTATACAACCGGGCAAATCGATTAGACTTTTGTGATATTATTATTTACTGTTTACTATTAATATGAATTTGGGAAGTAAAATATTTAATTAGGCAGCTCGAGTCGATAATTACAACAAAGTGGCGGTGCTGCAAATCAAAGACGGAGATCGACTCGTTATGTTCGACTAATTAACTAATTGATACAGTAATCTCACGCCTCGCGGAGTCTCGGCTAACATCCCAGTGTCTATCTGTGTTTATGCGACCATTAATTACGGAAATTTAGACGGAGTCGATAAACGAAGGATCGAGGATCGTTTAAACC